TCAAGTTTCATTTGGACTTTATTATTTATTTAATCCTGTAAATAGGGCCTAGCCTCAATATTATTTGAGAATTGTACTATAAATTCATATATTTTTCTGCAATAAACAGTCAGGCTGGTTTTGATCATGTGGTAATCGGAGAATGATAAAATAGGGGAAGCAGGACTTAGTACGTTTTGAAACGCTGTTTTCCCACAACTAATCGGATAAATGAGAGCGGAAGGCCTTTGAACTGTCATCTTCTTTATCACCAAATGCACGCCCACTTAAGGGAAACAAATGCGAGGAAAATGTAGAAGGAGGGAAAAATGAGATTTCCAAAAGCCTTTTGGCTACCTACCACGATTTAGCTAATTAGAGCCATTACAAAATTACTGGCCCACAGTCATCTCCATCATTGAATTCAACCTACCCCCCCCCCCCCCCAATCCTTTGTCTCAAGATCATTAAAAATGTTTACCATATATTTTCAAAATCTTTTCCACCATGAGTAAGACCTGATCTTACTAACCGGTTAATCACAATGCACCCTATGACACTCATTACTCGTGATCAAGTAATTCGAATCATATTAACCGGAATAAAATCGATGCTCTTAACTCACTCGCTTCTTGTTTAAGGTTGCCTGAAGTGATATGTTTATCTCCGACCAAATTTGTGTGAATTCTCTCTATTGCGTTTAATGCAACTGCCCTCAGCTTCATTCATTGTAACACATTAAGACCTACAGACCACCCCCGTCATCACACATACCGATGCTAACCATCTATTCTGGCTGCAACCGACTTCTTACTCTATTTGGTTGCCAAAATGAAAATTTTAAGAAGAAGAAGAAGAATATTGAGTGTTCAACACAAGAAATAGAACTGCTTGTGCTTCCTAACAAAAATTGCATGATCAATACGCACTGAAATGGTTTGGTCATAGCGTAATATTTTAAAGGCACGTTTGTATCGAACGCATAAATCAAATTAATTGGCGCTTGATTTTCTTTTTTCTTACAATGCCTAGTACTTATTAAAAATTTCTAAAATTTTGTAGAAGTGATTTCTATTTTAACTCTCAAATTTTTTAACAAATATGCACCTCTATTGGCCTTAAAATTTTGAATTCAATTTTTAATTTTAAATATATGGTGAAGTAGATTTTATTGCAATTTTTATTAAATAAACTTTTTTAAAATAAAACCTTTTCTTCAATAAGTTTTATATTGAATTGTATTTGTATTGTGCTAATATAATAAATTTGAAATCAATGCGAAAGCTGAAAGAGAAAGATTGTAGGAAAGGTAGTTGCAAAATTTCCTAATTAGATAAGCTAAATTCAATAAGTCTTTGATCTCTTGTCGGCATTCTATTTACAGGCCTACATTCATTTAATTAAGCTGTAGGACGGATAAAATCAAAGATAAGAAACAGCAAGACGTCGAGATTTCTTGTCGATGGAAAGAAACGCTCCATTTCTTCATTTTTCTTCCCCCTCTAACATCCATCGTTGGCAGTTTTAACTTAAAATTTGTTCAAAGTTTGGTGTTGGCGTATGTGAATTGGACATACAAATCAAACGAAATATTTCAAAATTAAGAAAATAAAATATGCAAAAAATAAACACAATATGGAAAGATACCCATTGTATAACAAAATTAGTTCCTTTGTTAAGAAGCATTGCTATTAAAGATTCGAGTTATAATGCTGCCTTAAATGGATTGACTGATGCACCAAATTTCAGGGAAAATAGGTACCTTATGATGATAAATGCATTAATATAATAATGAAAATGTTATTTCTCTTCTTTTCTCTATTAATATTGGCGTAAATGCCTTGGTATTATGCTAGGGAATATAACGGAGAAATTAAACTTAGATGTAAGCTCAGATCACATCGAATGCCATCTTACGATTACCAAAAACTCATGACATTCCCCCTATATTTCATGAACGTCTTAATATTAGGACAGCAGTACCTAAGAGGGTAAATTTCTCATGCGGAGAAAGCATAAGTCAAGGCAATTTTTCCGCTTTATTCCGACACTTCCACTTTCAGGCCAACCCTTCACCAATTTTGACCTGATTAAGACATGAGCTCTACGTGGTAACGAAGGCATGATCTTTACAGTGAAGTTGTGAAGAAGGAAAGACCCGGTTCCATGGCAGTATCTTCCCACAAACCACCACGATTTCAAGCTAATAAATGACACATATCCAAGCACACGTACGCACGTACACACACGCAACTCCTCAAATACGCTCCGCACTTTCGGCAAACTGACAGGCTATCATATGTCCTCCTCCTCCTCCTCCACCTCCTCCACCTCCTCCCCCCCTCGGGTAATGGGAAAATGAACGCATGGTTTCGCTCTCACTTTCCTCCCTCATCGGCTTGCACACAAACAGTCGATTTCGGTGTAATATGTTCATTCTCCATTATTTTTTCTCCCACAACTAATGTAGCTGTAATTCAATGAACAATAAAAAGAATACTTGCAAGTGTCCACTTGTTTGTAATGGTGAAGACACCCTATGTTTGATGCAGAACCTGCATAGCCAATAGTGGGCTTAACATTATTCCTGGCAGTGGCTTATCTTTGGGTAAATTTTAAATGTTAGGTACACGAATAATGAAGTGCTTCGTTTCACTCCCCTAACAATTGCCCAATGAGAATAGGTTGGGCGCATAATTGATTTATTGAAATCAAACTCCTAATTGTAGTATTGATTTTAGGTACATTCGGAGCCCGAACATATACGAATTTCCTTCATTGCATAGCTGCTTGTTCTAATTGAACAAGTAATTTTTTGTTTTAAGTACTGAACATTGATTGAACAATGTAAAAACGTAATAACTTCAAATATTGGATTCTATTTATTCACTTTATAACCATTTTTGATAATTATAAGGTAATAAGTTATTTCGAAAATTTTATTTATTTAAAATTTAATATATATATATATATATATATATATATATAAATATATATATGTTGCATTCTGGAATATGAAGTCTGGTGAATAATCAACACTTTGATGGTCTGGATATACTGTTCAGAACATGTCCTTCCTTGAAGCCTTCAAATAATCTCAAGATCTTCCCTGGAAGTTGTATTCCATCGCTTCATTGACTATTTAATGATTGAATAGAATGCACTTTGATAGAGTCCGACTTTCGTATTTTTGTCAACACCACAAGAAATTGCATTTTAGTTCATGATAAACTCAAATTACCAGAATGGCTCTCATAAATAGGCAAGTATAGTTTCCGGATTTATTCCCTTTCAAATTTTGTCTGCTTAATTCATTGAATTCGTAGGGACTTTCGCACTAGTTTTTTTTGATAAAACGGAACTAACAAAATGTTTATTTAACCGATATTTTTTTAATATTTTTCCACTGTGATATGCGGTATTTTGCTGACAGACTGCACAACCTCAACCTAACAGATTAGTTTGTGGGCATTGTTATTGCAATAGTTTCTCATGAGGGGGTCATAGAATTCCTCCATTAGTCTATCTTATTTAACTAGAAATAGATCTTAACTATTATCAAACGCCAACCAAACTTTACTGTCATTTCAAAAAATTGCGCACATAATTATCTGTTAACTGCGAAAGGTACTATTAATGTCCCACAAGTTCACGGGCGAGTGAATTATGGTGAGTTGTGTGCCTTTACTCGCCTTCAGCTTTGGAAATCATTCGATATATAGATCAAGTGACACCAATCAACCACAGGATCAAATCAATCGATCGTCGAGTTATGAGTAAAGGCGATATGATCTCACCCATGAACCTGAGGGTCAAATTATGAAGATTGAGCATTAATATAAAGGTATGACTTTTGGCATTCTTACTTTAATTGCTTGAACTCCAAAATGGGATATCTTCCACGCCTTTGAAAATTAATTTACGCCTTATGACCTACAAGAACAATCACCTACATTTGATTCAATCTCACATATTAGGGGTGTGCGATAGACTTACCACCACGTGGTGCACCCTGGGCAACGTATACTCATCATACGGCAAAAAAGTCTATTAACCGGCAGTTGACTTCTCACTTCAAACTACCACGACCCCCCTGTATGTCATATTCCACCACTTTCACAGTACTCACTTTACCTTTTTCTCTACCTTTGTGCCTGTCTGTGAATCGCTCTTCTGTTCCCCACCCGTCGACTTTCTGCTACTTTGATGAACCTACCCTTTCTGAAGCCCGAAGTCAGCTAAATGTCTAATGATAGCTAACAAAACGCCTGCCATTTGAAATAAATAAATCTCACTTATTAAAGCGAAATGAGGAACGTCGCATTTGAAAGTGAACTAAATTTTACTGGAAAGATCAAATCGCTTAATAGATGGTGTTGTTACATGGGTACAGTTAATTTGCTTTTGTCAAAGGAAATAGGAGGGGTTAGGGGTGGGTGGTTATTTGTAATAGATTTTCAAATTAAAACAATCCAACTGTTCAGCACGGAAATTTATGAGTATCATTTGATGTATTAAACAGAATAGATTACAATTACTTCGGTAAGCTCAGTAGCTCTTAAGTACTGCCTACATTCATAACAATACTAATTGCTGGTTGTCAAAATAAATCGATTTCATTTGGAAGATAGATTTCAATTTATAAAACGAGGTAAGTATTGTCATAAATAATTGTGTTTCTCAAAATGATAGGTGCATGCAGCACAATAAACCATCTCTTAATATTATTAAGGATCTCAAGTTCATTTAACAATTATTTGCTTCCAATTAGTCTCTCTTTTATTGCAAATTCTTCATCCAGTTTGTCACTTTAATTGCATTTGCATCTTAATTGAATTTTCAAAATAATGCCCTTTTAACTATTCAAGGGGGCAATCAAGAGTGAGTTAATAAACATTGGAAAACAAAATGCGCCCATTCAAGTTTGTCTTTTTTATTTCAAGAACTTCAGTCAGAATTCTGCTCCTCGTGAATGTAACAAAGTTGTCGACGGTCATCCACTATTAATCTTCTTTATCTGTCTAGAAATTGTCTCTTCTCTTTCTCTCGCTGCGCTTGTGACAGCGCTTGTCGGAAGTAGTGACAGCGGCACAAATTCTCGGATTGACATCACGTTGACCAAGTCGGAATGATGCAATATCGTAGAAGTGAGCAGGAAAAGGAGAACGACAAGGAGGAAGAGAAAGGAGTGGAAGATGGAGAAAAAGTGGGGATTTTTCGGGATGATTGGCAAGTCGTAAGTCGTGTGTGTGTGTGTGTACGCTAGGCTGATGAAAATCACATCCCATCACATCAAATTACAGAGTGTGTGTGTGTGTGTTACAGGGAGAGGAGTTAGCCATGGTGCGTCAGTGTGTCTGAGCGCTGGTGCGGTCGTGGTGCACTTTCACATTGTGCGTGCTATTTCTGCTTGGACCAGTGAAAGAAAGCGTGCTTCTGCGTGCCGTGTATAAATAGCCGGGTGTATCCGAGCAGACTTAATTCATATCCCACAATTTGGCCCTTCAGGATACTATGAGATAGGACCTATTCACTAATCAATTGACATTATAATTCGAACCCCTCTTCAGTGTGGACGTCGGAAATAATTAATCTTACGGTGAGTCCGTTTTGAATTTACTTTTGTCAAAGTTCAAAAAATTTTAACGACAATATGAGTTTCGAGGATTTTGGATCTATGAGGGGGAGTAAAAGTATTTGAATCAAAGTCGAATTGAATGACATGTTTGGAATTTTGGTTTCCGTCATAACAGAAAATTAATAAATACTAGACCAAGCGAAGTGAAATTTTCTCTCATGCTAAAACGCCTGTTGCACAATATCCCCAGACAAATAGGAGTTTATTCAACTAACCAGTCAATTATTAGATTAATCTAAGAATATTTACTTTTTTAATCAAATTTATTGATTTCCAATAGGTCGTCCAGACAGGACTAATCTCCAGAGTTGTCTGAGCAGAGTTGCTTCCCAGTTAATTATTACCTAGAGGTTAGATCACTGGGGGGGTGGGTGG